CACACCCTCTCTGATCACCTTCTTCTTGTTAACATGCCTGTAGAAACCTTTCTTGTTATCCTTCACATACTTAGCCAGTCGCAATTCCATTTGCGCTTTTGCCTTCCTGATAACCCCCCGGCATTCTCGAGCTATACCTTTAAACTCCTCCCTGGTCATTTGTCCAAGTTTCCACTTTTTGTAAGCTTCCTTTTTGTGCTTAAGTTCACCAAGGATTTCCCCTGTAAGCCAATCCGGTCTCCTACCATGTTTGCCTCTCTTGCTACGCGTCGGGATGGTTTCTTTCTGTGCCTTCAATAAGGCTTCTTTAAAATACTGCCAGCTGTCCTGGACGCCTTTCCCCTTCATGTTAACATCCCAGGGGATTCTGCCCATCGGATCTCTGAGGGAGTCAAAATCTGCTTTTTTGAAGTCCAAAGTGTGTATTTTACTACTCTCTTTTCTTCCTTTGGACAGGATCCTGAAATCTACCATCTCATGATCACTGCTTCCCAGGTTGTCACCCACCGCCACTTCCCCTATTAGTTCCTTTCTGTTTGTGAGCAGAAGGTCAAGCTGCGCACTGCCCCTGGTCAGATCCTTCAGCACTTGTGTCAAGAAGTTATCCCCAACATTCTCCAAAAACTTCCTGGATTGCCTGTGTAATGGGTGATGTTTACTGATTCCAGCTAACCAGTGGGGGCTTGAGCAGCTCCTCACCCTCCTTGGGCGGGGAACTGCTCCAAGCCCGCAGTGGGCCTATGCTCTAGCCGGGCTGGAGCAGCCCCTGCCTGTAGCAGTGGGGCCACCGCAGCCCACACCCCTTTAACCTATTAACTGGTTAAACATTACATTTAAATGGTTAACCAATTAAATGGAATTTTGCATCTCTAGAACGCATGGCAAGGAAGAGTGAAGTGAGAACAGATACACCAAAAGGACAAAAATGCCTTGATGAATTGATCCAGCTTCCAGTTGTGTGAAGAAACTAAAAGATTATTTAAGACATAGTTGAGCCTAAATTCAGTTTTCTTGTCAATAGATCAAGAAGGCTGTTAAAATGTCTGAAAAAACTAAGTCCTGGTGATACTGTGATAACAACATAAAAGATGTCACATTAAATAAACATTTTTGTTAGAATCTGTTAGTATAGAGAATTGCAGGTGGGGGGAATGAGAGGGGTGCTATACTATTGCAGTCTGTTATGTTTATTCATTCTGAAAGACACTATGCAGTACTGCACTATGCTTCCTCTTGACTCTCACTTTCTCACACTGACAGACAGAAACCAGTTGCAGAGTGAGAGAGAGCATACTGTACAGCTATGCTAGAATTACATCATATCAATACTGTTTACTTTGAGTTATTTTTAGTAGGTTATCCTAAAGCCTGACTCATTCATCAGTGAAATACCACTGCTACCATAATACTGTTTATAAGACTGTTTTGTTTATTTAGAGATACAATACTGTAGTTGTTCATCACATTTAAAGTTTCCTTTTTGTGGGCATATTTCCATTTACTTTGGACTTAATCCAATTCCAGTAAAATCAGAAGGAGGCTTTCCATTGATTCCACTGAGAGTTGTGTCAGGCTTGGTAAATTACTGAAACTGTAAGGTTTCATAAAATGAACATTGCAGGCAAAGGCTTATAGGGTGCCTAGAGGGTGGAGTTCCACTCCTAATTTGGATCTCTGGACACTAATGTAATGTAAATATTTGACAATAATAACTTCACAAAGTACTAGCCCTTAACAGAATAGGAACAGAGAGAAATTATCAGTTACTACAATTCAGTATTGTACTTAGTGGCTACGTCTACACTGGCCCCAAATTCCGGAAAAGTCATGCAAAGCAGGTAAGTCAGAATAGGGAAATCCGCGGGGGATTTAAATATCCCCCGCGGATTTAAATAAACATGTCCGCCGCTTTTTTTCCGGCTTGGGGAAAAGCCGGAAAAAAGCGTCTATACTGGCGCGATCCTCCAGAATAAAGCCCTTTTCCGGAGGTAGGAATAAGAGATCCTCCGGAAAAGGGCTTTATTCCGGAGGATCGTGCCAGTCTAGACGCTTTTTTCCGGCTTTTCCCCAAGCCGGAAAAAAAGCGGCGGACATGTTTATTTAAATCCGCGGGGGATATTTAAATCCCTCGCGGATTTCCCTATTCTGACTTACCTGCTTTGCATGACTTTTCCGGAATTTGGGGCCAGTGTAGACGTAGCCAGTGTGTTTCCTTTTCTTATTTCTGTAAGTGGTTATAGAATATGTTGCCTTTTGCTTAAACTTTTCTTTTTTTGTTTTTTGTTTTAGTATGTGCAGAAACTTACAATCCGGATGAAGAAGAGGATGACACAGAGTCAAGGGTGTGTAACTCATTGCGTGAAATGCTTACCTCTCAGTATTCAGACATTAAAAATAAAATAAAGAAGTCACTGATGATAGTAATTGTGGAACCAATGCAACTAGTCTTTTTCAGTTTTCTTTGACAGTGTACGAGACTTTGTTTCAAAGAACTGTCATCCCTTTAATTCTTTATTAGATTCCTGTATAGAAATCAATTTTTTTAAATATTAAAAAATGTTTTGAGTGATCTCCCCTGTGATACCTAATCTTTTGACAAAACCTTTCTTGTTCAATGATATATTTGCCCAAAGGGCCCTGTACTCCTAGTGCACTCAATATCTTTATACTTTTGTAGCATTACCAATATCTTCCCAGGGGAAAAAGATAAAATTGCATAGATATTTTTAATTTAGAAATGCAATAGTTATTTTTTTGGCTTAACAAAATTAATATTTTAACAACTCATCAAGTCATCCCTTTAAAGGTATGACATTAAGTTTCAGGATAACATAGTTGAAAGTATGGTTTTTGAGGCTTTTTTAAAACTATGCCTATTGCAGTTGATTGCAATATTTTAAAAGTAATTAAAAGTGATACCTTATTTATGGTGCTTCATTACACCTTCTTAAGACTGTTACTCAAATCGGTTGGTTGCCAAAGCCATTATTAAACTGAAATGGGTCAGTCTTTTGTAATTAAGTACATCTGTAGTTCACTTGGATTCTAAATTTATTTACTTGAAAAATTTGATGTAAATTAACACAGATCTGATGTACAAAGTGTTGGAAAATGATGTGGGAAATACTTGTGGCAAACAAAAAAAATTGTCCAATGGGACACATGACTTTGATGTTATATATCATCCCAATAGTTTGAAGCATAAACTGAAAACAAAGTTGTTTTATATCAGGGGTCAGCAATGTATGGCACGCGAGCCAAATATGGCTCAGTATAGAACCCAATATGGCTCTTTTATCATTCCCAAAATATACACACGTTTTAAATGAAAATGAAAAATTAATTCAAATTTTTAAAAACACGTACTTACTCATGTCAAGATGGTTTTTTTTGTATATTTCACCTTTAACCAGAGGTGAAACTAAGGTGGTGCACCCTGGTAAGAGCCTGCTGCACTCTGGCAAAAGCCGACTGAGCACTCTGCTCATTTAAAGCGCTGGCTGAGGACGCACTACAGAGGAGGTGCGTATGCTCCCAGCTAGGATAGTGAGAGGGGCTGGCGGCGGGAGATGCCTCCATCTGGTCATGGCAGCCTGCCTCCAGCCCCCATCCAACTGCTGTGGTCTGTCTCCATCCTCTGTTCTCCTGGGGCAGACCCCGTAGTCAAGCCCCAGCTGCCCTGCTACTGCTGCAATAGTCCAGCCGCGGTGACCCAGCTTAGATTCCAGCCACAGCAACCTGGCCAACAAGGCCTCAATTGGGGCCCAGCATCCATCTGGCCACATCATCCTGGCTCTGGTCTGATCTGGGGCAGGTCCGGCGGTCCGGCCCCCATCTGGCCACAGGAAGGGCTGGTGGCAGACCCCTTCTCCTGCTGTGGCACATGTGAAAAGATGCAGGAGCAAGAAGTCCCATTTAATAAAGTCTGTGAGTACAATGTTTCATTTATGCTATTATTAATCATCATGTCATTTATCAATAATATTAAGTTGCATATTATCAGTCATGCAAATGGGCATTCTTATACTGGCTCTTTGTTGACCCTGTGTTCTGAATTTTTATGTAGTTTGGCTCTTTGGTTTTAAAAGGTTTCCAAACCCTGTTTTAGATAATAATATTGTGCTCTCCACATATGTTACAGGAGTTTGCAAAAATGAATTGACTGACCCCTGGCTCCTCTAGGCCTGGCAGTTCATAGCTCCGATCTTGGCTTGGTGCATCAGTTATGAATGTAAAGAACTGCTTGTAACCTCAGCACCTCTTTCATTACAAATTGAGCACTGCTGAGATATAATGTGTATATTGGGTATGTACCCAAGTCATTATGGTTTTCAGAGAAGAACGCTGCCAGTTGTGTCTTGCTGTTGTATACAATTTTTTAGCAGGGTTAGTTCAGAGTTTCAGCTACATACTCTTTTCTGATGATCATTTTTAAGGTTCTTCATTGAGAAAAGAAAATTAAACCAGTAATTTCTATTATATCTTTTAGATTATTTACCCCAAAACAGATGATCAAAGAAACAGATTGCAAGAGGCTTGCAAGGACATTCTTCTTTTTAAAAACCTAGATCCGGTAAGAGATTTCAGTAAGCAATATTTAGTAGTGCAATTAGATTGAATTCAATTAGAGTTTGATATAGACATTCTTACAACAAACTTACATTTTGTAATGTAGTAATAGATTTATTGCTGCTTGCCTTGAGCTTTTTGTAGGCTGTATAAATGCCCATTTCACAAAAGGAAAAGTATCATGAACATTTGTCAGGTATAGTATAGTATAGTACAGTTCTTTCCTGTAGTATCAACTAACATACACTGATATTGGTGAAAGTGAAATACTTTAACATATTTGTAAAATGTTTTGCCCTTTCAAAGACTTAGTTAAAAACCATTTTAACAGATAAAAAAGTGTTGGTACATATAAATGCACATCAATTAAATTATGAAACTTTTAAATAGTTGCTTTGTTTTATAGCATCTAGAAATATGTCTATTCTCAAATTTGTCTCCTGCCAATGTAAGCGCCCTGTTGCGGCTGCAGTAATGCAACCTCCCGTAATGGTGTTGAGCCATTGGTGATGCAGTGTGACATATTTTACATAGGATCTATTCTTAACCCTAACAATCCTACAGCAACTCTTCTACAATGCCTGACAGTGAGCACTCTGATCACAGTTGTGAACTCCACTGCCTGGGGGTTATGGATAATGGAAACACTTCCTACCCTTTTAAAACTCCCATGTATTTTTGAAATGTTTGAATATTTTTTCCTGATTGCGCAGTTTGACATGCACACCTAGCATCTTTCCCTTGTTAGCTGTTGTGTGCAGCTGACCGGGCCAACTGTATACTACAGAGGCACTCCTTCCTTGAGGTGACAAGAGGTATTGGATCTCCTGGGCTAAAGAGCAGACATAGAAATGTAGACATCTATGAAGAGATCTCACAGGCAATGTAGTCAAAGAGGCATGAGGAGGATTGGCAGCAATGCTGCATAAAAGCAAAGAAACTGCAGCAAGCATACCATAAGGCCCAGAAGGCCAACAGTTTATTGGGTGCCACTCTGCAGACTTGCTGCTATTACAGTGAGATATGTGCCATCTTTGGCGGAGATCCCACCAGCATCTTGCAGACCACTATGGGTACCTCTGAGGAAAAGGAGGGAGATCTGGTGTGGGGCAGAGAAGCTGTGCTATGAGCCAGGATCTCTTCAAGTCTCTATCACAGTCTATTCAGTCTGTGTAGCATGGACAAGCCAGATCCAGAGGAAGGAAGGTCAGGTGAGTATATGTGTGCATTTTTTCTTATACTGCTAAATGTGATGATGGGTCCTACTTCATCCCCAAGATATCAGGACTCAGTAAAACTTTTCATTGTTTTACTTGTACGAGAAGTGGTAGAGATACAACAAACAGAGTTAAGAGTTATCTGCTTTATATTCCCCTGTAGGGTTAGATGGGAATGGAAATGCAGACCAGTTTGCTTGTGTTTATACATAGTAATGTCCTTTGTATCCTCCTGAGAGATCTCAATGACACTTTTAGGGGGGATTCAGAAGGATGTTAGCTTTATTTCTTCCTCTGCAGTAGCACCCTTTTCTGTGCCTGTCTATGATGACTTCAGCAGGCATCTTTACAGTAAATAGTTTCAGAACAACACCAGCAGCTGTGTTCTCAGTGTCTTTGTTACCCTTAGGAGTGTGGTATCTGCTAAAATCACCACTGCCTGTGGATAATAGTGCAAATATTCAGGTGTGGGCTCACTTTTCTCTGCAGTCAATGGAAAACTATTTCAGCAAATCCCTATTCTCCCAACATTCCACACTGAGTCAAGGATTACGTCCTGACCCCCTCATTCCACAATCCACACTGGAGGACAGTAAGGAAACCACAGCTTCACATACACAGACTTGTGAGAGCCAGGCTGGTGTGTGTTTGGCAAAAATTGATTAAAATGGACTGTTACCATTCTAGTTTTAAAGTTCTGTTCTGTTAATTAGTTGTGCAAGTTTGTACAATACTGATTTTTAATTGCACGTTGTTTTGCAGTGTTTTTTGTGGATAATATATGTTTGTATTTTGGAAAAAATCATCTTTATTATTTCATAATGTATACAAAATGCCCAGTGTTACTCAAAGGATACCTTACTTGTAATGTATCACCTGTACAGAACAGTGATGGAGAGTTCATCATGAACGTTGTAAATTGTTCCAATGGTTAATTACTCTTACTGTTCATAGAATCATAGAACTGGAAGAGACTTCAGAAGGTCATCAAGTCCAGCCCCCTGCTCTAGGCAGGACCAATGTTAAAAATGTATACCTTATTTCCAGGCTGAATTTGTTTAGGGTTAGGTTTCAGCTACTGGATCACATTGTACCTTTCTTTGTTAGATTGAACAGCCTATTATTAAATATTTGTTTCTCTTATAGGTGCATATAGACTAAAATCATGATTACTCCTTAACCATCTCTTTGTTAAGCTAAATAAATGGTCACAAGGAGCTCAGTCAATACAAGCCATGGTAAACTTTGTTACTCTGTTAATTATTCCCAAGGCTCTTCTCTGAATCCTCACCTATTTATCAGCATTCACTTTGAATTGTGGGCACCAGACCTGGATATAGTATTCCAAAAGTAGTCCCGTCAGTGCCAAATATAGAAGTAAAATAACCTTTGTTCCTATTTTGGATTTCCCTTTTCATTCATCCCAGGATCACATTAGGGCTACGTCTACACTGGCACCCTTTTCCGGAAATGCTTAAAACGGAACAGTTTTTCCATTATAAGTATTTCTGGAAAAGCGCGTCTACATTAGCAGGATGCTTTTCCAGAAAAGCCCTTTTTCCAGAAAAGCGTCCATGCCAATGTAGATGCGCTTTTCCGCAAAAAAGCCCCGATCGTCATTTTCGCGATCGGGGCTTTTTTGCGGAAAAGGCTACTGTGCTGTCTACACTGGCCCTTTTCCGGAACAGTTTTTCCAGAAAAGGACTTTTGCCCGAACAGGAGCAGCATAGTTTTTCCGGAAAAACAATGACGATTTTACATTAGATCATCATTGCTGTTCCGGAAAAGCAAGCGGCCAGTGTAGACAGCTCGCAGCTTATTCCGGAAAAGCGGCTGCTTTTCCAGAATAAGTGGCCCAGTGTTGACACAGCCTAGCTGTTTTGGCTGCTATACTGGGAGTTCAGGTTGAGCAGATAATCTATTATGATGATTTTATGTTTTTTTCCAGATCACTGATGTTAAAATATTAAAACATAGGTACTCCAGGAGGAACTGATCCATTCAATGGCAATTCTCCATTTACAGTTATATCACTTAGACAGCTTTTGATCCAATTAATATGTGCCATGTTAATTTTATAATGGCCTCATTTTTTAATCAAAATGTCATGTGGTACCCAGTCAAATGCCTTACAGAAGTGTTATATGTATTAGATAAATATTACCTTTATCCATCAAACTTGTAATTTCATCAGTAACAGGTACCAGGTTAGCTTGAATGGCTCTATTTTCTATAAAGCCATATTGATTTGTATTAATTCCATTCCCTTCCATTCCTTTAGTTTTTTATCAGTCAAGACCTGTATCAGTTGTTTCATTTTCTTGCTGAAAAAAGATATCAGGCTGACAGATCTATAATTACCTATCTCATCCTGTTTGGACACAGCATTTGCTTTCTTCCAGTCTCCTAGAACTTCCCAAGTGCTTCAAGACTTTTTTGAAAGTCTTGAGTCCATTGAACTCCTCATCCAACTCTTTTAAAAGTTTGGATACAATTTTTTCACTTTAGTAGCTTCTGTTTTACATCCTCCAGAGATACTAGTGGAATGACAAGAGTACTGTTATCACCTTCTGATGAGACTATGTCTTCTGTTTGTTTGACTGCCATCATTTCCCCTCTATATAAGGATTTTTATTTTAACCGGCACTGATTTCTTCCCTATCTGTGGGATTGTGGCTTTTGGGGGTATCATAAATGATTTCCAATTATCATTCACATTCTTTTGATTAAATTCTTCCTTCCTTGATTTGGATTGTAATTGTTTTAAGCTTTGTAAAGTTAGCTCTAGTAAAGCTGTAAGTATTTATGTTAGCGATTCCTCTTTCACATCATAAATGTGATCAGCCCATGAATACTTGTACTTATGCTACTGCTCATGTTTAGTTCTGTAGAAACCATTTCATATTTAGCTAGAAGCCATTCTGTATAACAAAAGCCATTTCAGTTTCTTGTGTCTGCACGTATACTAGAAGGAGCTAATTGGACTTCACCGAGGTGGGGAGAGGCCAGAAAGATGCGCTGTTGGAATGTATTAATGAACTATTTTGAGTTGAAGCTCGAACTCCCTCTAAATCTGTTTCTTTCTCTGCTGATAATAATTCCTTTTTGAAGTTCTCTTTGATTTCTTGCCCTGACGTCAGACGTGTTTGGTTAAAGGTATAAAATACTAGGATTGATTGTATTAGCCAGCCTCAGTGGGCCCGGCTCTGCTGGGACCACGTTTGGCTCACTTTGCTTTTATTGGCCAATAAAACTGTCTGTTTAGCCGTGTAAACTGAGTGAGGCTTTTGCTTCGACAGTTCTATGATCAGTTACTGTTTATCTGTGAAGATAAAGTTGTTATTGGGCTGCAACACTTTTTGAACTAGGAAATGATAATCTGTAACATTTAGAAATTCCAAAGACATTTTAATATTGACAGCATGACTACATCTACACTGCACTGTAGTTCTAACTAAGATACACAATTTGAGCTGTGCAAATTGTGTCTCTTATTATCTTATTTCGAAATAGCTTATTTCATAAATGTGAAATAACCCGCTATTCTGAAACATCCCTTACTCCTCATGGAAATTAGGTTTACAGGGACATCGGAATAGCAAGCCCAAAATAACGGGCTTGCTGTTAAGACAAGGGATAGCTATTTTGGGATACTCCAGTATCCCGAAAAAGCATTGCTATGTAGACATAGCCTATGAGACCTCTAGCATATGTCATTTACATTGAAGTCCTCATGATAACTCAGCTTTTTCCCCCTATACATTGTTGAGAGGTGCCTAATGAAGCA